ACACTGAGGAAGGATAGCATAGGATCGATAAACACAGATGGAATATCCATACCATCCATGGATCAGTCAGACTCCAACCATCATCAAATATCTATACCTGCCAAACACTGATCTACCAGATTCAATGCAATACCTATAAAATCCCATCAGCATTCTTCACAGAAAGAAAAAAATAATTTTATGCTTCATCATGGAACCAAAGAAGACCGCAATAGTCAAGCTAACTTCTAGGCCAACAACAACCATAAAATGGGGAAGGCCATTCATATCCGCCAAGATATCAAACTATACTAGAAAGCTTTGTAGTCGATTAAATCAATATGGCTATTACGGACAAAAATAGGAATATGACAGTGGAACAGATGTGGAGGAATCCTGAAATATAACCATCCTCATAATAGCCATCTGACATCTTTGACAAAGGTGCAGCAGCAAAAACCATTACTCTGGGGGACAAGAATCCCCTTTTCAAATGAAATGGTGCTGGGAACAAACTTGGAGTAGCCACCTGTAGAAGGCTAAAACAGGACACACCTTTCACCCTATCCACAGCAAAATCAAACACGATCGGGACCTGGAGTAACAGACTTAAACCTAAGGTTGAAACTATTAGTAACTTCATAGAGGAAAAAATTGGAAAGCACACTCTTTGCCTAGGCCAAAGAGTTTATGAAGAAGTCCCCGTCAAACGGCGGCCAATCACAGCTAAGCAACACAACAATAGAATAAATGGACATGATCAAACTACAAAGCTTCTGCTACGCCAAAGAAATAGTCATGAGAACGTAGCAGATGCACTACCAACCAGATGGGAGAACAAGATTTTCTGCATCCTATGCTGTGATAAGGACCTGATAACTAGAAAGGCATAACTTAGAACTATCTCAAAAGATCAGCAAGAAAAAATCAACATAACCTTATAAAAAAAAAAAACTAAAAAAAGAAAAAAAAAAAAAAAAAAAAAAAAAAAAAAAAAACAAAAAAAAAAGAAAAAAGTGGGCATTCGGACTTGAACAGAAACCTTTTCTAAAGAAGACAGAAGAATGGCCAACAAACATATGAAAAAATGCTCAACATCTTCTAATCACAGGCAAATAACCACAATGAGATATCATTACATCCAGTGAGAATGGCCTTTATCAAAAGCCTCCAAACAATAAATGCGTGGCATGGATGCGGAGAGAGAGGAACACTCCTACACTGCTGGTGGGACTGGCAACTAGTTCAACCTCTGTGGAACACATATGGAGACCTTAAAGTGATACAAGTGAATCTACCATTTGATTTAGCAATCCCATTGGCTGGGCATCTACCCAAAAGATCCAATGACACTCTACAAAAAAGACACCTGCACTCGAATGTTTATAGCAGCACAATTCATAATTGCAAGGCTGTGGAAACAGCCCAAGTGCCCATCAATCCAAGAATGGATTAATGAAATGTGTATATGTATATCATGGAGTACTATTCAGCTCTAAGAAACAATGGTGATATAGCACATCTTATATTTTCCTGGTTAGAGCTGGAACCCATTCTATTAAGTGAAGTTTCCCAAGAATAGAAAAACAAGCTCCACATATACTCACCAGCAAATTGGTATTAACTGAACAGCACCTAAGTGGTCACATAGGTACTACAGTAATAAGGTATTGGGCAGGTGGGAGGGGGAGGGGGCGGGTATATACATATATAATGAGTGAGATGTGCACCATCTGGGGGATAGTCATGCTGGAGACTCAGACTTGTGGGGGGAGGGGGAGAATGGGCATTTATTGAAACCTTAAAATCTGTACCCCCATAATATACCGAAATAAAAAAAAAAGAACAAAAAACTACAGACCATTATCTCTTATAAGAACAGATGCAAAAATCCCCCCCAAAATATTAGAAAATCACATCTAATGGTGCATAGAAAGAATTATACACCATGACCAAGTGGGATTTATCCCAGGTATGTAAGGCTGGTTCAACATTTCAAAGTCATTTAATATAATCCATCACATCAATAAACAAAAAAAAAATCACACAATTACATCAATAGGTATGGAAAAGCATTTCACAGAATTTAACACTATTCGTAATAAAAACTCTTAGCAAGGTTGGAGTAGAGGGGAACTTCCTCAACTTGATAAAGAACATCCTCAGAAAACCTACAGCTAACATCATACTTAATGGTATGAAACTAGAATCTTTCCCACTAAGATGAGGAAGAAGGCAAATATATCCCCTCTCATCATTCCTCCTCAAAATCAACTAGAAGTCCTCGTTAGTGCAATATGAAAAGAAAAGGAAATAAAAGATATACAAATTGGGTGGAAACAAATAAAACTTTGATCACATGACATGATTGTCTATGTAGAAAAAACATTCAACCAAAAAACTCATAAAAGTAATAAGTAATTGTAGCAAGGTTACATGATACAAGGTTAACATACAAAAGACAATCATTTTCCTGTATACCAGCAATGAGCAATTAGAATTTGAAATTAAAAGCATGATACCTTACATTAGCACCTCCATAAATAATTGGTATAAATCTAACAATATATGTACAGATCTACATGAGGAAAACACAAAACTCTAATGAAAAAATTAAATAACTAAATAAATGGAGAGATATTCCATGTTCAAGGATATGAAGACTCAATATTGTCAAGCCGCCAGTTCTTCCCAACTTGATCTATAGATTCAATGTAATCCCAATCAAAACCCCAGGAAGTTATTTTATGTATATCAAAAATCTCATTTTAAAGTCTTATAAAGAAGCAAAGGACATAAAATTACCCAATGCAATATTGAACCAGAAGAACAAAGTCAGAGGACTGACAATACCTGACTTCAAGACTTACTATGAATCTACAGTAATCAAGACAGTGTTGTATTGGTGAAAGAATTGACAAATAGATCAACAGAACACAGTAGAAAGCCCAGAATTATATCCACACAAATATAGTCAACGGTGCTTGACAAAGGAGCAAAGGTAATACAGTGGAGCAAAGATAGTCTTTTCAACAAATGGTACTGAACAACTGAATATTCACATGCCAAAAAAAAAAAAAAAAATGAACACAGAGTTTACACTCTCCAAAAATTTAGTTCAAAATTGATCATACCCATAAATGTAAAATGCAAAACTATAGGCCGGGTGCGGTGGCTCA